GGGGGGTACTCGATATATTCCTGGGTGGGGAGGTGCGGCGCGGCCCCTCATACCCTGACCCTGTTTAAGACAAATATCGCTGATTTTCCTACCCTGTTTAAGACAGAATTCTGATTTTTGATACCCTGTTTAAGACATTTAATGTGCCTGGTATCAATGCCAAAATCAACGGAATTCAATATTAATTAAAATTAGAGCTTGTAAAAATTTTTCTGTTTATCTTCCAAGAAAAGATATCCTGTTTAAGACAAAAATTGATAAATCGATACCCTGATGAAGACGAAAAATGATAATTTCGATACTCTGTTTAAGACAAAAATCTCGAGAAACATACCCTGGCTGGCCGCACGTCCCCATTAAGCCCTTATAAGGGAGTACCCCCCCGGGTCACAGAGTGTTGCTTCCTAACTCCTTTTTCAAAGTGTCAATAAATCTCTTGGCTCCCTTGAAGTGCAGAGTGCACGGCACTTGCATTCCTTCCGCATCTCCACGGTTGACTGCCTTGCCAGTCACCACTTCAGTACAGTTGTTCTTCGTATCGCCACGTAAAAAGTAGAAAATTGTCTTTGCGAAACGGCCTGATTTGCCAACAACTTCGCCATCACGTTGAACACAAACCGCGTACTTGTCGACAACATTGCTGGGTTCTGGTACAGCGTTTAGCTCCTCAAGAAGTTCTGGGGACCAAACGACTTGGTAGACATATCCTTTGATGAAGGAATCCAGGTTGTAAGAGACAATAACTTCAGATATTTGTGTAAGATCCATAATTACTGTATGCTAAAGCCACGTTACAACTCTCGATCAGTACGGGGGGGGTACTCGCATATATGGGCCATATAGGTACGTGCCGCGGAATAGGGTATGGTTTTTGAGGTTCTCGGTTCTTAAATAGGGTATCTTTTTTTACCCTTTTATTTCTGTGTCCATGGTGTGATCCTTAGATAGGGCAGCTTAATTGTATTACCTAATACTGGAGTGTGAAAACGCCCGCCTAAATGCACGGTTTTTTTAAAACTTGATGTATCCGTCCGTTTAAGTATTGTGACAAAATGATTTTGCAACAGAGGTTTAATAGCCGTTACAACTCTCGATCAGTACGTACAGATTCTCTGTAGTCAAACCGGAAGTTCTTTGACAGGCCACAACATTGCGACACTGCGTCGCGAATGACAGATACAGAATCCAGCACCCATGCAGTTGAAAATGGTTTTAAAACTGGCCCCGTTATCCTCAGTGAGATTTGTATTAAATCTATACAGAGGATTTTACCAATGAAGCAAAACTCAAGCCTTCTCTAAAGCTCTCAATGCATAGAAGTGTTTCGTTTTTCATACGAATGACGGTCACTTTCCCACTTTCCCGCCCACGTGCCAAGAATTTTGTGTGGCCTCTTGTTTGCGGTTATTGCGCAAACCGCATCTCGCAGTTTGCTTCAATGCGATTCGACAGCACTGCTTGGAAATGTCGGAAAACTGAAAGAAGTCTCTCAAGCGTAAGATTACCACTAAATAGGAGAAGTATAAAGCTCTCAAGGACATCGAGAGTGGCACAGCTAAGAAGAAAGTAGCGACAAAGTATAACATTCCCTTAAACACTTTGTCCACGTGGGTGAAAAGTCTGAAAAGCAAAGAGAAAATTTCAGCCGCGAACGGCGTTGCTTGCAATCTTATCAATTCATATACTTCCTTTTAATTAACTGGATATGCGACTGTTTAATATGGTGTTAGTATACGCGTTGGAGGAACTGCAATATTTTGCAGCTTGTTATCGGTTTTGTTAACAACGCATTATTAGTACAGAATATTGCTCCATCAATTTTTCGCCTCAAGATTTTAGCCGGTAACGATCACGCCAACGATTCGCTTATCATTTCATCACCAAGAGCGATAACATCTTAACAATTCTTAACGAATGGATAAAATTAAAAGAAGTCAGTTTTATAACAAGTTGTGGGAGTGAATGACAGAGAGCGATTTCTTTTGACTGAAGAGAGAGGGCGCGGAGATTAGAAAACATCGTTTTTGGGCAGTCGCACGCTTTTGCCTTTTGTCGAGTCATGTCTCATTTTACAAGCGAACAAAGAGCTCTAGATAATTACTTTTGAGAACAACTGCTAGTACAGTTATCAAGTACGAGTTCTTTTGACTCGCAAAGCGGCTGACAATAACGTGTTGTTTGAACTTGGGGGAAAACAAAACGCCCTGAATGGGTTTACTTGGAGATACATTATACATAGCTCGCTTTGACAATTTTAATAAACGTGAACAATGGAACGCCTTTGGACTAACTTAAGCAAACACACATTGCTCAAAAGGTTATTAAAGCTCGTTTTGCTGTGTCTCGACTCAAATAAAAAGTAGACACTATTTTCCGTCACGTTGACAAACAAGGCATAGAATACGCACGGAAAGTCACGCAATGTAGGTAGTAAAATATGTCTGCGCAGTTAATCTAGCGGTGACCTGATTTGTTTACACATAGAGTCCCTGCACCAAAAACAGCTCCTGACAAACGATTACTTTATTAAAACAACTCCACCTTCCATACACAATTGCCTCGGTAAAAACTGGCTTTATTTACTGAACAAAAAATGAAATGAATTTTACATGCGTTTTAGATCGCTTAAAGGACAGTAAACTTCAATTAATTCTGGATAAATTTCTGAATCATACTTCCTTTCAAAATAGGATTGCAAAGCCACACGTTGCAAACTTCTGCATTTATTTGCAGCCAGAGGACAAGGCGTTTAGACATAAAATCACAACTGAGATCTCAGAAGAAATTTATGATGAAACATCGTAAAAACGTGGGTTCAAAACGGTCCAAATCAATACAGCAAATAAAAAATACAAAAAATACTAGTTTATTAGCTTTTTAAAAAAAGTCACTTGCAGTAAAAATGGATTAAAAAAAATTTGAAATGTTATTTGTCTCACACCAAACTATATTAAGAGACTCATCTGGAAGACCCATCCCTTATTTGAATTGAAAATGCTACCCTTACCCACCGACACACATTGAAACAAAACCGCAATCACATCTTAAAATATCTAAAAAATATCAAACGCCTGCACAGTGGTGTCCAAAGGCGATGAAATGCTGTTTATCAACATAGACGAAGCCGAAAGAGAATCTAATATATGGTAAAACTTCAAATCTTACAATAAAAGTCCCGTACATGACCGCGTCAGTTCGAGATTGCAGTCCTAAATTAGAAATTTTTTTTTTGTTCAATCTGACACTACCCACTAGACTGTTGGGGCCACAGTTTGATACAATACTACTTAAATGTTTCATTACGATAGATGTTTAAAGAATAAAAACTTCGATATCTATAAAAAAAATCATGTTGAATGGGGCGTTAAAATTATGAACGTTGTAGTGTGTGTTTTGGAATAAACAAAATTTTAAGTTCCAAAAAGAGGCGTTGAATGAAACCTCATATTGAACGATTCCATGCAAAGTAGCATTTCAGCGAAATGTTTTGGTGAATATACCCTGCCCTACACTTTGTGCTGTTACGTTGTGTCTCATACTATAACCGAGGATCCAAGAGTTTAAACGGTCCGTGGTGTTCCTGTTTTATCCATATACTGTCTATGACCGAACCATCATAAGCTCTGATTTGTTCCCAGTACACATGAGTTGAGTTCTCAATCCTTAGTTTACCGTAACCGGCGTTGCCTGGGAACCACTCGCGGAAGGCGGACCAAGGACCTGATGAGAAACGACGATTAACAATTATGTCCATTTCAAGAATCTTCGCCGAAACATTTTATTTATTTATTTAGAAAGAGAAGACGAACAGGGATAATGGGATGAAATTTGCAATTTTCAAGTGGAACAATGTCCGATGTAGCCCCAGGAGGCATGAGATAGAAAATGAACTAATTTTTTTCTAGGAATATAAATAAGAGAAAATAACGGCCATGAGAATCAAGCAGTGGTGACCTGCAAAAAGAGGAATTCCCACTTTTTTAGTTATTCCATAATCACTTTACATTGGAAAACTGTTGAAAAGAGAGAAAGGAAATTTTTTGTTTCGATATTGGAAGATTAGGGGTCACCTTAAGACTGCCTTACGTTTAAACGTCGATTGCAGTTACCACCGAACCTACAACTGACCTATTATTCAAACTGAAATTAAGGCAGAGACGGGAGTCAAAATGAAATCGCAAACAAAATTACTCGGGATTAAAAAAAACAAATAGTTACAAAATGAACAAAACTGCTTAATAAAAAAACAAACAAACAAACAAACAAAAAACGAACAAGGAGGGTGCCAGTTCTAATTTTTTAGCAAAACAGGACGTTGTCTTGATAGGGATTCTGATCCGGATACATGACAAAGAGACACTGCTGGTCACAAATGAATGCCACCCATGATTTTAAATTGACTCTAGTTTGGTGATGAACTTCGTCTCACGCTTTCCAACGAAGCTAAAAAAAATCACAGGCCCATGCAGTTTTGAAGGAAAACGAATGCTAGAAGCAGACCCCCTCTTCCTGGAGGATCATGACCTCTGCCAACGGCGTAAGGTGTGGTGACCAAGCGAACGACACGATTACCAAGGTACTTCCTCGATGCAGACTAACAAATGGAGACGTCTTCGAATCTTTTCTGAAATTAGTTACCCACATTTTTTTAAACCATTTCTCTAGAAGCTCTACAGGGGCTGAAAAACAACCAGGCGCGTAATATCTTCAACAAAGGACGACCTTCGATCCTTCCTTGTTATCTGCAGATCGCGAAATGGCGAGTTCCCGATTCTTCAGTTGAGTCAGTTTATTTCTTTAAGACAAAACTAGAGGCAAGGACTCATCGAATTGTTGATTTCCTGGCCGACTTATTTTTTAACGTTGAACAGCTATCTTTCGTCAAGAAAGGTTAAATGCTTTCTTAACCAAAGTTAGACCTATAATAATATTTAATATTTAATACTTATATCGCGCTTTTTCTATAAAAATACTCAAAAGCGCAGGTGGATATCAAATCTCCATTTTCGTTGTTGTATTGACTTCTTGTTCTTAAGGGAAATGACCATCATTTTGATTGGACAGGTGGTCGTTCGTTGAACCACGAATGTAAAGGAATTGTGTCTTATCGATGAAAGCTTTGTTGAATGAAGGTTATAGCGGTAAGACTATGGCGAGATACGCTGCGATGAGGTAGTATTCTTTGAACAAACAAATTAGCTGCTCCCTGAATTTAGTAAGCAAGAAACAAGCCCTCCCAAACGCAACTATACCACTGATTTGTATAAGCTATATCTCCTCATGGTTCATAAAGATTTCAAATCTCGATTCTTAGCTGCATGAATAACAAGATGCTCTTGACTACAGCTTGACACGTTTCTAAAGTAACGCGTTTGATGTAAAGAAAGTGGCTTACCAAGCACTTTTCAGTTCCATAAGACTCTCGTTCAATTTTCCAAATCAAAGCAAATTTTAAGAAAGGACAACTATGGGGAAACTGCAGTAGAGCCGGTGAAAACGGTTCGAGATGCGAATTATTCAGGCAAAAGAAGAAAATAAATTTACTACCGCGAAAGCGGAAGCGGCCTATGTTGGGAACAACAAACCTATAGTGTAAGGATTTAGCACGGCAACAAGTGATTTCTTTTAAGGACTCCAGTGCTAATTATTACATTTTTTGCCAGCCTTGATTTTAGGATATCCACAACTGAGGTAAACGCATCCATTTATGAGTCTCTATCAGCTTTTATGACATTGCATACCTCTTGGTCCCAGCATGGGAGTCACGCATATTCCATAAGCCTCGTTGCAGCCTGCCGCACCCGATATCAGGTGGACTGGGGCCTTTGGATTGCTGTAGTTGTAAGCCGTTACTACGTCGTTGAACACTGGCCAGAGGCGTTCGTACGAGTGCTCATGCGCTTCGATGATTATGTCTACACCGTACTGGAAAAATAACGGCTCCAAGCTAAGGAAAGTCATCAAAAACAAAAACTGGTTCAAATTCACCATCAAACTGCTCACTCTCCTTTATCATAGAATTATCNTCAGTAAGAGTTTTGGTACCTACTGGATTAGAGGGGATGGACCGGAACGATAGGGAACTTCCACATGAAATGACCTGGGGTTGTCAGTAAAACATGAAGCCGTTATGATGCTTCAGAATGTTACAGAGGTTGATATAAGAGGGGAGATTTTCCAAAACATTTTTAACTAACTCAGTCCACTTTACGGCGCTGTATTTTTTAGTTAAATTACGCGCGAACCGCTATAACATAACTTGATGGTTTAAAATCAAAACTGTTCTATTTTCTCGGCTTTGTCAACCGTTACGAAGAAAGTAACATTAAATCTGATTCACTTTTCACCCTGGAAAAGCTGCCTCACTCATTCGAGACTAAAACTATTTGTGTCAAAACTCATTTCAATTCCTTCTATGAGCGCCTCAAAAGCTTTCTCTTACCAACCTTTCAGAACCTAGGATCTTTTTTGCCCAGTTACAATAGCAGAGTTGATTATATTGGCATAGTAATGCGAAATATGAGACAAACGTACGCGATGAAGTGAGCTCTGGCGACGTCAAAGCTGTACCACATTCTGTCGACTGCAGTGGGCCACTCGAGTAGCGGCATGGAAAACCTGTATCGGCAATGACTAAAGTTGAAGGCAATCTCTGCAAAAAGAGAGAAAAAAACCCAAATATATCTTATAGTGAATGTTATTGTATATGGCTGGCAGCGCCCGTAAGTAATATGAAGCGAATTCTGTGTTCTAATTAGCTACCCATGCGGGCAACATGGGCCCATCCAGTCAAAACAAAGACATCATAAATGGCCCTCGCAGGCTCATTGTGCTACAAACACAGCTGGCTTTCTTTCCCGGTTCTCGAAATAAACCAGTCATTCATTCTTGATTCTTATTAAAGCGAAAAATATTTTTGTAATATACTAAATCTACATTAACCGAGCTTATCCGGTCAGGATGGCTGGATTTTAGCCCCTTTTTATTTTCCCCGTTTTTATAGACCTCGGCTTCGTTTCGGTCCATGAAAACGCGAAAAAGTACTCAGCCAATATTCAGCCATCTTGATCTCA